AGCTTTAAAAACTTGGTTATCATTTTATCTTCCATTCGTTCATCACATGGCCTAGTAATGGAAGAAAGAACACATCACTTCTTAAGTCTCCATCCATATATAGGACCATATTAGAAATAGGACGTGTAACTAAGCCTGAGTAGCCTCCATAGTGGGGTTGGCTCCAGCACTTGCCAACCCTCTCAGAAAATCAAACACTTGTTGAATCACCCTAGAGACTATAGGGTAAAGACCGGCAACCCCAACTTGTGTTCTCACCTCTAGTTTAACATCATCCTCAATTTCTATCTCGACCTATTCTTCCACATGATCTTGGGGTGCGAGAGGGGTTATTTCCCTTGGTGCATTCTCAACCTGAGCTCCATCCATAGAGGGTGTTCCCATTCCTCTACCTCTGTCATGCCACTACCTCTACCTCAACCTCTGTCGCGTCATGTTCATATTGGCTCAGTTGTTGGAGCTATGGCCCTTCCACCATTACATCTCATATTAACCATCTGTGGGAAGAAGAGTGAAAAAAGTTAGATACCAATTTGGATCATCAGATACCAATTAGAATGAGGTTAGAGCATGGAAGGAAGAAAGAAGAGAGAATTTTCATAAAGTCTTGTAGCCTCTTGAATAAATGTCACGACCCAAAATATACATGAGGTGTAACATGGCGTATAGGATCCCAAGAGTCCATACACCAGCCACTTAGCTTACACCATACAAGATAATACAATTAAAGATTTCAAAAGAAAGTATTTCATATTTCAAGAGTTTTGACATAGCGGAAGTCTAACATAAGTCTCAATAAGCCATCTATTACATCATAAGGAAAGTGATTAGGATGTAACCCGTAAATAACATACAAGTCCGAAAACTAATAAAAGACATGATGTATCTGGATCCCCAAAACATGAGGACTCACCAAACTCTTGAAGTCTGGAAGAATCAACTAGCGAAGAGTATGGGAGGTAGGAGCATCAGACCCTACATTAGTGAAACAATGTAGGCACAAGTATGCATAAGTACATGGAATGTACTAAGTATGGGTAAATATGCATAAAATAGACTTGATAGCATGAACAGCATAAACCATGTAGACATGATCATTATTTGAATATTTAAATACTTCAGAAATAAATGACAAGTAAATCATGTAATATGGTCAAATACATAAACATAAGGGATATGAGAAAAGCTTTGAAGAAAACATAGTCATTTTTGGATATTAGTTTTAATCGACAATAAGATCATGAGAGCTATATCATGGAATCTTGTATATCCCTCATACCAAAATAAGGGGAACCTACTTGCCGAGATAGACTATGTACAAATCATCTTTTGCTAAAGTGGATCCACTAGATGGTTCATTTAAGACAATCCTACAGGGGCACATAGTTTGGAACTAGAGGTTGCTACTAGAGACTACCCTATTTGACCTCCACCTCAAATTCCTCTCGGTGCTAAGTCTAAATCTCAACGAAATAAATAAAAGTCAAATATAAATTTAACATAGGAAAGGAAATGATCAATACCAATCCACATTCTTTCAAGATCAAAACATAGAATAGCTCCTTAAACATAATTCAACATAAATGAGAAAACCTTTCACCAATGTGAATCCATGTGTGGGAAATACCTTTCACAATCATGATCATATCATGTGAGAATAACTTTCATACTAACATTGATCCTTTCCTTTCAACGAATTCTCAGATTATTTATAATAGCTTCACAAACACATGCATATCTTCATAAATTCATAATTTGTAGGTTCGTGAGCCCATCATAGGTTCATAGTTGAAAAATCTTAATTTAGGCACGGGTCAATATAGTTTCAACTAAATATCATGTATTGACATTGAATCATGCATTAGAAGACTTAATTAACAATAATCAATCAAAATTGAATGAAACCCACAAAGATTGGATTGAACCCCTAGCTTAAACAATTGAAATTGAATTGAGAAATTTAGAAACCTTGGAGACTCTATGGAGGAAAGAACTCCATGGGTGAATACCCACATACTTTCTTCTTTAAGCCCAAAAAGATTGGAAAATTGATGAACTTGAATTAGCCCTAGCTTATTCTCCTTCCTTGGTCTTGAGAAAATTTAGTGAGGCTGAATTTGGTTAGGTTTTGGGGAATTAGGAGAATAGGGTTGAAGTGGGTAGTTTTAGGACCTAAAAGCTTTATACATGGCTTAAGATAGAAGGTAAAACGACATAGTATTAATTTAAAACAATTAGGGAAAAGACTCAAAAGCCCTTAAAAATAACTGTCGAAGCCCATCTACGGTTTGGACCCGTACTTGTTAGCCGTAGAAAAGACAGAAACATAATTTTTTGACAGACCATGTCTACGGCTCGTAGGTCTTCCTATAGTCCATAGACACCTACCGTAGAAACCAACTTTATCCCTTAAAAATCTCACTAAGTTCGAGACTTACCTACGAGACCTATCTATGACTCATACAAAGACTGACGGACCACCCTGGTGAACCGTAAAAAGGGATACTAGGACTTGATATTTTGAAAATTTATTTTCCCTCTTCCTACGGTTGCCATCTATGGCCTGTAGAAGCTTCTACGGTCCATAGATGAGACCGTAGAACCAGACTTCAACCCAAAAATGTCCTTTCTCCCTTTTCCAAAAATACGAGGTGATACAATATATTCCCCTTGGAAACATTCGTCCTCGAATGGAATTTAAGGCAATACAAGGAAGGTAGGGGAAGAGATCTAACAACCCAACAAGAATCAACTTCATCAAAAGAACATAATCATATTTAAAATATCATTTCGTAAAGAATACATGCAAATCATACTCAATGCACATTATCATGAAGTAATTAATCAAACTAACTCATTTTCTCAAGAATCAATATTTTCATGAGCATGCATGCATGAGGAAACATGAGAACAACTATGACACATCAAATCAAAAAGGATGAACCATGAGGAACTAAATATCTCAAGCTAAAGTAGGATTGGAGGGAAAGAGGTAGGGATAATGGGACATCATATTGGCCTCGGCCTCCCAAGGAACTCCCTCAACCCTTTGATTCCTCCATAAGACCTTTACAGATGCAACTTTCTTATTTCTCAATCTCTTAACCTACCGGTCCAAAACCTCAACCAAAACTTCTTTATAAGAAAGACTCTCATTTATACAAAGACTCTCCAATGGTATGATAGACGTCGGACCACCAACACATTTCTTCAACAACGAGACATGAAAAATTGGATGCACCAATGTCAAGTCATTAGGCAAATCAAGTTAATACGCAACTTTACCAATACGCCTCATAATCTAATAAGGGCCCACATAACGAGGATGAAGCTTTCCCTTCTTTCCAAATCTCATTACACTCTTTATGGGTGAAATTTTCAAGTACACCCAATCTCAATATCAAATTCTAAATCTCTTGTTCTAACATCTGCATAGGACTTCTGTCGACTTTGAGCCATTCTCAACCTTTCTCTAATGAGCCGAACTTTCTCCATAGCCTCATGTGCCAACTCGGGACCTATCAAAGCAACCTCACCAACTTCAAACCAACCTATAGGACATCTACACCTCCTACCATAAAGAGCCTCAAATGGAGCCATACCAATGCTTGAATGATATCTATTATTATAAGTAAACTTAATTAAAGGCAAATGATCATCCCAATTACCATTGAAGTTAATCACACAAGCTCTCAACATATCTTGCAAAGTTTGGATAGTACGCTCCGTTTGCCCATCAATTTGAGGATGAAAGGCCGTACTAAGATTGATGCGAGTACCAAGACCTTTTTGCAAAGATTTTTAACATTGGAAACTAAATTGGGTACCGCGGTTGGAGATAATGGATAGCGGAACTTCATGCAACCTAACCATCTCCCTTAGATAAAAATTAGCATAGTCTTCCACCGAATAAAAAACCTTGATGGGAATGAAATGAACCGAATTCTTCATACGATCCACAATAACCCAAATCGGGTCATGTTGCCACTGGGTGCGGCGTAAACCAACAATATAGTCCATATTCAAATCTTCCCAATTCCAAGTAGGAATACTAATGTCTTGGGACACTTAGCCATGAATTCTGTAATATCCATATTCATCCATTCCACCAATAGACCTCCTGCAAGTCATAATACATTTTGATGGCTCCCAGGTGAATGGAATATCGAGAACTATGGGCTTCCGATAAAATTTACTCCCTAAAATCATCAACATTGTGAAGACACAAATGACCTTGATACCTAAGCACACCATCTCCCTCTTAGGAGAAAGCCTCAGTGAACTTTTTAAGCACTATTTCCTTCAATTCAACCAAATTCAGATCAAGACCTTGCTTGGCTTTCACATCTGACACAAAGGACGATTTTGAACCATTATGAACAATTACACCACCTTCATTAGAATCAACCAACTGAATACCCAATCGGGTCAATCAATGAACATCACGAACCAACTCCTTTTCATTATCCTCAGCATGAGCAATACTACTCATTGATAGTCTACTACACTACAAAAAAAAAAGTTCTTTAGCAAGGGGAAATTTGGTCGTTAAAAGTCCAAATATGGTCGATAAATGTCATTAAAAACCAGAAAAAATTCGGTCGTCGACGGTCGTTAAAAGTTAACAATCGGATTTCAAGTCGGTCGTTAAAAGTACATTTAACGACCATATAAATTCCGGTTGTTATATGTCCTTTTTAGCGACTATATTTGCCCTCATTACAAGTACTTTTAATAATCAAAATTCCTTTCGTTAATTGTATTTTAGTTTCGACACCAAAAAAATTAGCGACCACATTTCCCGTCGCTAATACTCATTTTAATATTTTATAAGAAGCCATTAATTATAAAAGATTTTCAAAGACCTCATTTTCATTTCCTATTATACAAAAATTTGTACTAATGAATAATATAATTAATTATTTAATATACGAAAACAGTCAAAATTATACTAAATAATTAAATTCATTATATAAAGCTTCATTGTTAATACAAAAAACTAATTAAAAAAAGATATATCATATTTAAGTTGCATGACATATCTTTATCAATTCCTTAAAAAAAAAGAAAAATTGCAATATATATATATAATAAGATATCGTCTTTAATTTAAACCACCCTTAACCAAAGTAAAAGGTGTTTTTAACTTCAACTTGCTCCATACTTTCTTGAACGATATATTCTTCATATTAAAATTCTTGAGCTGTAAAAAAAGAAGTATATGTTAATTCAGTAACATCGTATAAACTTTAAAGAAGAAACATAAAACTTTAACGTATTTACTAAAAATGATGAAGGTGTAGGAAGCTACACCTTGTACTGACTTCTATTGTAAATGTGACTGCAGTATATATCCGTGTTTGGAGGATGAGGAGCATCTTTTCATGAATAGTCTAATTGGTAAAGTTCTGTGGAAAAATTTCAAGCAATTATTTGATATACGAATGGAGCAAAGAAACATCATAGAGCGTTTTATTACTTGGTAGCTGGTAATGGATCATAACATTGTCACTAACTTTACAGATTTTGGTTGAGATAATCATGTTGCAGATTTGAAAATCTAGATGTAAATACAGGTTTGAAGGTCTGAAGATGTCTACCAGCAAAATCATTATAATAGTTACCCAATAAATAACATCATTGCTCAAAACAGTTCACTATGATCCCTCATTTTCCTGAAATGAATCCATTTCTTTGAACTTATGGAAAAGTCCAAGATCAAGATAATCAAACACAACTACAACACTTTTATTACATCAAAATCTAACACTAGAAGGAAAGGAACAGTTTATTACATTAAAGAGTTAAAAATGGACAGCAAAAAACTAAGGAAATAAATTGAGCAGACAAATGTTAAACTCATAGAATATTGAACTTGCTAAACTGAAACTATAATCAAATTTGGCAACTCATAATTATCACAGTTTTGACCGAAAACATCAACATCTATTGATTTTCAATAGTGCCAGAGGTAAGTACATTTATCAAGTGAGTATGCCTTCAGAAGAGTAGTTGCATCAATTTAACACTGAGTCACTTTCAAACTACTTTCTGGTATAGATTCTAGGAAATGCAAAGAAAAGGTTGTTGGCAACAAATGCATATCTTTTATTCAATTGTAGTTATTAGAACTAGCACTCTTCTTGGGTCCAGTTTGCAGTTTCCAGATTATTAAATCAGTATTATTCTCTATTCAGACCTATTGGTCGCAGCTATTTTTGTTGCCCAAAAAATCAAAAAGTATGTCAAAATTTCTTATAGAATGGTTGAGTAAATATCCCTAAAAAGGCACTCATTTCAAGACTGCTGGGCTTAGACTTGTTGAACTTGGAAACCTGGAATAAAGCAGCACTTTGTATACTTCTTTGGAACCTATGCAAAAAAAGATATGTATTGTGGATACAATGGGTCCATATATACAATGACAAAAGTTGATCATTGTAGGGTGCAAGGCAAGCATGCATTGAGGAGGCAGGTATGAATGAAACTAAGTTTCTACAATACACATTTTCTCAATAAAAGTGATGTACTAAAAGTTGATAGTTGATCATCCTAGTGTGCCTTGAGGAGACTAATGTGCAAAAATCCAGGCTTACCAAAGTTGTTATTCATCTTATACGTGACTATTCATGGCAGACTGTATACTCCCTCTGTTTCAAAAAGAATGAACTCCTTTCCTTTTTAGTCTGTTTCAAAAACAATGACTTCTTCTTTTTTTTGTAACATTTTAATTTCAGTTTTCCACGTGGCATGTTTAAGACCACAAAATTAAAGGGCAATGTACATTTGACATAACTTTAATTTATGACCACAAGATTCAAAAGTCTTCTTTATTTTCTTAAACTTCGTGTCAAGTCAAACTAGACCATTCTTTGTGAAACGGAGGGAGTACTAAAGATAAGATGCTTTGGAATGGAAGTGTTTGTTGGACAAAGTGATAATCACCCCAGGATAATGTCCAAATTAAATAGCAGTAGGAAGAGAGTAACAATGACACCAAATATTAAAATGGGGTAAATATGATACCCAAATAAGTGATGCATTAATATTGATGAAAAACTTGGTAGTATCAAAAAACTACTACTCAACACTCTTTTTATTTCTTACAACTCACAATAATATTACTTCCACACTATTAACTCACAAACTAAGAAATAGTTTGTGGATTACTCTCTATTGCTTCTTTATTTTGGTGTGTCCTTACAAATGAGCATAAGTGCTCTATTTAAAAGAAAAGTTCTGCCCATTTGATGTCACTAATGACATCAATGGACAATAACAATTCAAACCTATAGGTAAACAACTTCTAAACTTTTTGACATTGTTGCAATTTTGCAGTAATGGACGACTAAAGTTGTTGGCCTAATGCAGCAAATGAGGACTTCAATAAATATATATATATATATATATGGACCCCACAATGTTACCTCTATGTCTACTTTGTGACATTGAATCAGAAAATATAGATCACTTATTTTTCGAGTGCACTGTAGCTTCCTACGTAGGGAAAAAAGGTATTGCATTGGAAAGGAATCCACCGACAAGATATGAACTGGGTTGGAGAAATTCATTGGTATGAAATTATGTGTAAAGGCAAGGGCAATGCTTCTACAATTTTCAGAATAATATGGTTGTCTCTGTCTATGAATTGTGGCTGGAAAGAAAGCATATAGTTTTCCAAAATTCACGTCGTCGCGAGGATATCATTATGAAGAATATTATTCAAAAGGTTTATCTTCGAGATAGCATGCATGGAAACATATCTAGGTGTTTGAATCAGCTAAATTATTATTCAATCTAGCAACTTGTGTTTAGGAGATAGGAAGATTATCCATATTTCTTTACTGGGACTATCCGATAAGTTGATAGACCAAACAAACTACAAACAAAGGGATGTTGGCTACATAATGGTTATCTTTTATTCACTTGTAGTTATTAGAACTAGCACTCTTCTTGGTCCAGTTTGCAATGTCCAGATTATTCAATCAGTACTATTCTCTATCCAGACCTATTGGTCGCAGCTATTTTTGTTGCCCAGAAAATCATAAAGCTGATAGAAAGCATATGTCGGAATTTCTTATGGAATGGTGGAGTAGATATCTCTAAAAAGACATTCATTGCTTGGGAGAAATTGTGTTTACCAAATGCTCACTACAAGAAAACAGTCGTTTAGCTACAAACGCAAATCCTAGCTAAAGTGATAAAATTCCCTAGCTAATGTCAATTTTAGCTAGGAAAATGACCTAGCAGACCTTCAAAGCTAATAAGCTCTTAGCTAATTTTTAGCTAGCAAATTATGTCATCCCTAGCTAATTTAGCTAAGATATCTCTGCTAGGCTCTTTCCGTAGCAAACAGTTTGCTTCGATGTATACTAGCTAAATTCATAGCAAAATTTGCTTGGTAAATGTTGACTTTACTAAGACTTAGCAAGGAATTACCCTATCTAAACTTACAAATGCTCTAGCTATTTTTCAAATTTTGCTTGGAATATTTTCTTTGCTAAATGAATAGCTAAAAACAGCTAGGGATATTTTCTAGATAAATCTGGCTAGAAATTGTATGACGAATACAAATATAATTTTCTATGTTTGACATAAGATGAAAAACATAGTTAAATCAAATCAATTTTTCAAAATAAGCACAGTTATAATATCATCAATCCTTGAATAGTGAAGTACATGTTTACTAGCTAAAATATGTCTTAAAACATAAAAACAGTAACATAAATGTCTTAAAACATAAAAACAGAAACATAAATTATATTAAGGTACATTTGGGGTAGAACCAGATCCATCTGTTGGTGGTTGAGGAGTAAAACCAAGCATCCGAGCCACAGCAGCACGAACCGCAATAGTCACTTGAGCTTCCATATTTTCCCGAATATCCATTTGCACATGCTCTTGCATATTCGTCATCCGTTGCTCCAAACACATGGTCAAGAAGTTGTTGAAATTCAGGTGTTTCAAATATTTGTTGAGTAGGAATATTTGAAGGATTCTGAGCAGTAGAGGATGCACAATTAGAATTCTTTGAATCTGCCAGCAAACAATTTCTAGATCCAAGCCCATATATTTTTCCTTTTTTAGTTCCACCAACTGTTTCTATCCAAGTTTTCAGTAATTGCTCCTCCGATACCGTTTTCAATAAATTCACATCATCTTCACTAGTTTTTTCTCCTTCATCTTCTCCATTTGTGGTCGTGTTTCTCTCCATGTCTCCGTCATCTACTTCAAGACCTTCTTCATTCCTTAATGTTGAAGTCTCACCCACCTTATCCTTAATTGTATTTGTAAATGTATTCTGAAAAAGAATAAAGTGATTAGCTATTACATTGTGTAACAAAGCTATCAAGTTGCAAAAGGTTCTATGAAAGTACTCAAATTTATTCTGTAATAGAATAAATGGACAGCAAGAAATAAACTTATATAATTAAAGGAATAGAATACTGTAATTGATGAAGTAAACAATGAAATATATATTTGAACTAATACAAGAACATCTTTCCTAAATGCTATATTGAAACTATATAGGTTCCTTATTCAAACCTTAAGGTGGAATGAGAGTCAGGCTTAACAAAATATAATGAGTTCAATAAGAAATATACAGATGGAAAGAAGTTTGGAACAACCTGTTCATGTTGAACTGTCCACTGGTATGTCTTTAACCTATAACCCACCGAAAAAAATTGTTGGACAACCAGTAATTGTATTAGAGGCACCAGAAATAGCAAAACAAACCGATGAATGGAATAATGCTCTAGTGATGTATACGTTGTGAAGCACCTACTTTCTCCTACATGAAGTTACTGGAAGCCCAGCAGTTCCTCTGGAATCAACTCACCACTCCAGTATGAGTTCAAATACTAATAGCGATTAGCGTAGGTCTGTAGTTTTTTTATTCTAAAGAGTCTGGAGATTTTATGAATACTAGGCCTTCTGTGCATATGGAGGTCTATAACTAGCAGATTCTTTCACCTGTTGCTAGAACACCATCGAATTTGAGAAACAGTTCATCTGATGGAGGACACTATGTCATGATGGAGAACCACCGAATTCTTAATGTGGACCGTCCTCTACCAGCCTCAAGATCAATAGCAGGACGTATGAGCTGTCCCATGGAGTCACCTATGCAGCAGTTACCACTGTCTCATTCTTCCACAAATCAAGGGATTTGGTACACTTATGGAGACTCAGCTGTAGCAGACATCTTTCTCACTTCAAAACAGTTATGGTTGGGGTCTTTAGGCCCTGATTCATCTGAAGTTCTTGTCAGACATAAGTTTGAGATGTTTGGTCCAGTAAATATATTTCCATTCTTTGCATTCAAAGGTTTTGATTTGGTTTAATACCAAAACGTTATGGATGTGGTGAGAGCCAGGGAAATCATGCTGGGAAATTCTCTTTGGGGTGTTGGTCTTCGAGTAAAATTTATGGATAAAGGATTAGGTACGAAGGGGGCAATAAATAGTGCAGGTGTTGGTTCTAGTTTCTATATTTATGTTGTAAGTGTTCAGAGCTGCTGGATGAAGGATGATGTCGTGCATGAGCTGAGAAAAGCACTTCAAAAAGGTCCTCGGATGGTTATTGATTGGCGCTAAAATTTTGTTTCTGTACCTGAGTTATATTACCACGATGCAGGCTGCTACATAGTGAAATTCCAAAACCAAAACGATA